TCCCCCTCCCCCCTCCCCCAGCCCACTCCCAGTAATAACAGAATCATGTCAGAATGATGCACACGTCTAGTCAACACCGCCCGGCACAGAGACGAAACGTCTCACGCACATCCCAAAAGGCTTCTGCTCAACTGACAAGATCTGGGTCACTAGTTGACCCAATTACCCCCACAGTCTCAGAGGGCAGCAGAAAACTTAGTGGCCAAAGTGGACATGGCTACTACAGGTCAACCGTCGGACTCGGTACTACTTTTTAAAACTTTTCAAGTCGATCTAGGTGTTTTGAATATCTGGCTCTCACTGGCAACATTGAAGCCCCCCCCCCCCCCAAGGGCAATGCCACCGACTGAAGTGTCTTGAGGCCATTCCCTAAGGGGGGATATTAACATGTTCTTACGCACTGTAGAATTGTAAACGGGCTGATTCATCAATGCCATGCTCATAACTGTACCTGAACTGCAACAGAGTACTGCTGCTTCTTCTTTCCTAATCCTTACTATCGTCATTTTCCCCTCTACTTATTGTGCCTTGATAGTCAAAGTAGACTTAATGCTGTTGAAGCTAGAGAGGTGGACAGATTAAGCCCGATTCTCCGTTTAAACTTCTCTGTTGACATCCACCCCTTGGCGCTCATATGACCTTATACAGCTGGAAGCGCGGTAAAACTTTATCAAAACCCGAAGGTAAAGGAGGCAGGGGCAGACCCAGAGCAACTTTCTTGGAGAGCCTAAACAGATGGGGGACGGGAGAACGACCAGGGTCCATCATCCAGTGCCACATCTGTAACAGACATCGGCGGTTATGGTTCTCCATTCATTCCTTTGTTCGGATGCTTTTTAAAAAGCTACGTTTCACTATGATCTTTCCCCGTTACCCATTCATTTAGGTTCCCTAAGAAGGCTGCTCTGGGCCTACCCATGCCTCGTTTGCCTTCAATTTTGCCAGTGTTCTTCATGTCCACATCAGCTGTTAGCAGTTCCCTGTCAGTGAATGTTTACTCTCTCAAACTCCGACTGTATCTGTACTCTAATATTTTGCATCCTCCGATCCCCCCCTCCCTCCCTCCGCCTTCCTTCTCTTCCAATAGCTCTTTCAGTACCCCTATCTCCCCCATCCCCAACATTCCCTCATTTGTAACAATTCCACAGACAGACAGGCCGTGTGTACGTCACTGTGTCATCAGTGACACAACCTAAGTATCGGAGACGACCCCTAACAAATCTTTCCTTCCTCTTTTCCAATAGCTCTTCCAACCCTAACACCTTCCCTCCAGACTCCCCCCTTCTCCACCACCCCCCCTTCCTTCTCTTCCATTAGCT